TGTATATCACAGAGCTTTAAAGTGTTCTGGTATAACATAATTCTCATTTGTAGCAAGTATACTCCATACAGGCAAAAACAGGTAGAGGATATTTAACATAACTTGTAATTAGACAACATCATGTGATCCAAAAGGGGACGGGAAGGTGAAATTGATCATGGTCCGTTTTGGTCCTTCCTCTGCTGACTCACAAAAGCAAACTGAGGAGAGAGCAAAGGGGTGATGCCTGGGGTGATGGTGATGACACATGCATATGCCTCTACAAACACAACATCCTGGATGAGCCGAGCTGTAAACTGCTTTCCACTTCTACCACCTTTTATCCAGGGAACACAGGGTGCTTTGCAAACATGAATTCATTGAGACTTCTAACAAACTCGGTGGGGAAGGTAAATATTTTTTTCTGTTTCACAGCTGAGTAAACTGATAGAGAGGTTAAGAGACTCTTGCTCAAGATCACACAAGAAGTTCATGACAAAGCTGGAAACAGAATCCGGGAATTCTGAAACGCTCTCTATTGCTTTAACCACTGTAATAATTCTAGTTATTCTGTACATATTATTTTAGATTTTCAAATCATAGCAAACATCAATCGTCTCACCCTCAAAACATGCCTAGGAAATATGGTGATGAATATCCCCATTTTACATTTGCCTGAAGCTTCACAGCAAGGCAGAGGCAAAGCTGGGATTTGAATAAAGGAGTTTCAAGTTCAATGCACTAGGCCATGCTGCTTGCATCCTTTCCAAGTTAGAAGCTCAAGAGCCTGGTTTCATTTGCACCCATTTTACACAGGTGTAGCCCTAATGATTTCAATGTCTGTACTCTTTGTTGACCAAACATTGGTGTAGGTAAGATCTGAGATATGGAGACTTTTGCAGCCCTTGTTTTGCAGGACTAATCGATTTTTGGGGGATAAGGCAGGTGAAGATGGGGGTACTATCTTGGGGACAATTTAAAGCAGAAAATGTAATTGGTTGGAGAAGTGAGTGGGATAAATTGGATGCCTACAATGTATGACAGCTTGCCTTAATCTTGCAACCGTTTACATGTGTGCTTAAACAGAGGCAGCACGGCTTAGTGGACAGAGCACTGACTAGGATTCAGGATACCCGAGTTCTGATCCTACCTGTGTCACTGGCCCACTGGATGACCTTGGGCAAGTCACTTTCCCGCTCTGTGCCATCTGTAAAATGGGGATAATGGTACTGAGCTCCTTTGTAAAGTCCTTTGAGATCTACTGATGAAAGGCACTGTACAAAAGCTAGGGATTCTTATCAGAAGTCGTCCCACTGATTTCAATGGGACGGCTCAATGGAATAAAGTAAAGCCCAGGCCTAAATGTTTGCAGGGCTAAGGCTAACAGCATGCAATTAGCTGCTTTTCCTCTTCAGGCCCTGAATGAAAAGTTCAACGCAGGGCTCCCCAGAACTCTGATCACATCAAAAAAAAAGAAAGGGAGAACATTATTTCCCTCCACTCCCCACAGAGTCTATATCTGTTATTCTGACATTTTATTTATCTCAGACCTAAGCTTATCTTGCTCCTGTAGTAAAAACCATCATCTTCTCCCAAGTCTCAAAGTGTAATCCTCTTTGTGATCCAAGAGATCACTGAGAGAGGAAGAGAAATAAAACCTCGAATAATTGCTCGGCGTGAGATAATCTTTGCTTCTCCCTCTTTTCTCTTTCTTGAATGAATAAAATAAATAAATAAAACCCAAGAATGGCGAGACAAGAAAAATCTGTCGAGAGGATTATGGTGTAAATAATGCCAGGTCCAGCCGACAAGAAATCTCGTTCGCTCGCTTCAGAGGCAGCATCTCACTTGCCACCATGAGCCTATTGATCCACTAAGGGTATGTCTACACTACAGCCGCTAGAGTGGGACAGCTATGGCACTGCAGCTGTAGGGCCATATTGTAGACACTTCCTACATTGATGGAGGGGATTTGCCATCAATGTAGCTAATCCACGTCTTTGAGAGGTGGTAGCTAGGTTGACAGAGAATTCTTCCATCAACCTAGCTGCATCTACAACCAGGCTTTAGGCTGACTTTGCTACAGCACTCAGGAAGCAAAATTTTTCACAGCCCTGAGCGACATAGCTAGGTAGATCTAATTATTAAGTGTAGATCAGGCCTGAAGCTTAACTTTCAAGAAGATTGTCACCCTCTTTCCATGCCTCTCCCTTTTGCTGTTTTTCTCACATACGCAAGTCAGCTGCCAATAGACTTTTTACTCACTGGATTTGTGGCGAGCTCCATACATTATCACTGCAGAAGGAGGACAGGACTGAAGTTAAATCGGCTGAGGAATTCAAAAGAAATGCCATCCTGGCCGATATTAGTATATTTATAAAAAAAAATAAATCCGTATGCTATGGTCAGTAGACGGTGTGTGTTCTAGATTGCTATAGAGCCCAACTGGTCAACAGACTGCTTATGACCATCGATAACGCCTTCGACTGCCGAGTTTATAACTAGAACTGGGCAAATTTTTTCAGCCAAAGCTTTTTTAACATAAAAACACATTTTGAAAATTCATGTCCATTTCTCTGAATTGTTTTGGTTGGAAAAAAAAATACTTTAAAAATCTGGAAAAAACCCAATGTTTTGTTTTGACGTTTTTTATGTTTCAGTTTTTTTTATTCAAAATTACTTTTGTTTTGAATTTTCTTTGCATCTTATTAATGAAAATCTTTCACTTCGTTTGATCGAAAATAATGTTTTGACTTTTCATTTAGGTGAATATTTAAAAAAAAAATGGTTTCAGCTCGAGCCAACCCAATTTTTGTTCCGTTTTTCAGAACCGTTAGTGAACCAAAAAATCAGTAATCCACATAGCTCTACTTTTAACCAGTTATAACACAAACTACTCATAAACAGCTCTACTTATAAACAATTGCTAATCATTTTCCAGCCCTTTATTAATGTACCCTTAATATGTTATATGTATGCCATGTATCACAGAGAAGACACTTTTCCTAGGTCGTGTGTAGATACAGAAAGACGTGCTTTTCCTCTTCTATCTTTTGGAAACAGTCAACCATGTGCGAGAGCAAAGTAAACCAGGGATAGTGTGTTCTTTTATGGGCCAACATCAGCTCTCAAGAAATAAAACAAATCAGAGAAATGAAGGATAATTTTTTCCTCCCTCTTATTTCTATTTTCCTTGATTTTTTTATACAAGTGTATCAGGTGCTTTAAATAACAAGTGCCCTTCCATCATTTTCTCCCCTGTTACACCGAAAATGGGAAACCTCCAATGGGACCGTCACAAGGATCCTCACTCATGGCCTCTGGTGAAGCAGAAAAAACAGATTTCACCAGGAAAGCAGGGGAAAGAAAATAGCAACAAAACATACTTAACACTCATATGAACATTCTTCCTCTGAGGCTCTCGAAGCAATTGACAAACTCAAGGTTCAAGCCGAAGCCCATCGAAGTCAATGGGAAACATTCCCAGATAGCTCAGAGGCTGAAAAATCTGACGCAGGTGCTCGATGTGCATGTGAGAGTAACGACGACAATAGAGACAGCAGGATCGCTCATGAGCTTCACGTTAAGCACGTGCCTCAGGAGCCCTAGAGAGGACTTTAGCTGTGATCATTGCATAAAACTCACTGACTGCCAATAAGAATTCAGCAGGAGGAAATAAGGTAGCATATGCCCTTAATTAATTAACCCTCCCAAAAGACTACACTCCCATGAGGTAAATAAATATCCCTATGCCCGTCTACTAAAAGGGTAAACCGAGGCAACAGCAGCTTGCTCATGCACACAGAGCATCTCAGTAACAAATCTGGGAAACAATTCAGGGGCTCACTGCTTTTCTTTTCCCTCTCAGCATATGAGCAGCTTCTGTTGACCTCAGCAAGAGTTACTATCATACAACCAGAGAACTGGGAACCCAGGAGTCTTGACTAACAGGCCATCTAATCTAACCACTAGATGACACTCACAGTCAAGCAGTAAGTGTCGGCAGACAACTTCATTTCAATGTGCCTAATGTGCCTGGCCTATTCATAAACCTCTACAAGAGAAGGAAACATGGAAATGTGAAGTGGTGATCAGTCACCCAGTCCTAATAACAATGGATGTGGGCCAGGAAACCCTTACTATTCACTTGAACAGTCCTCAAACACACGAGCACCCCTACAGGCCCTACACATGAGTTACAATAGAACCTCAGAGTTATGAACACCAGAGTTATGAATTGACCAGTCAACCACACACCTCATTTGGAACCAGAAGTATGCAATCAGGCAGCAGCAGAAACACACACACACACACACACACACACACACACACAGCAAATACAGTACAGCACTGTGTTAAACGTAAACGACTAAAAAAATAAATAAAGGGAAAGTTTAAAAAAAAGATTTGACAAAGTAAGGAAACGGTTTCTGTGCTTGTTTCGTTTAAATTAAGACGGTTAAAAGCAGCATTTTTCTATGCATAGTAAGGTTTCAAAGCTGTATTAAGTCAATGTTCAGTTGTAAACTTTTGAAAGAACCACCATGGCGTTTTGTTCAGAGTTACGAACATTTCAGAGTGACGAACAACCTCCATTCCGGAGGTGTCCGTAACTGTGGTTCTACTCTAGGATCACTGGGGCAGCGTTGTGCGATGGCGCTCTTGTCATTGCAAACTGAAATCAAGTGTTACAGATCAAAACAGGGGGGTTGTTGGTTGGGTTTCAATCAATTGGTTTATTAATTCTGAACAGGATTGTGTGTAAAAACAAAAAAACAAAAAAACCCCTAAGTGACAGTTACATGAAATGTATTATCTAGCGAGCTGAACAAGACAATCAGACCTCAGTCCCATCATCCCCAAGAATGAGAGAACAAAGGACTAAAAGAGAGAAAGAGAGAGAGAGCTTAGCCGTGAACCTTCCAGCATGTAAAAAATCCAATTAAATTCAATAAAAGAACTGTACCGGACTGTTCATGTTTAAGTAAGACAGTAATTATTAGCTCAATTTATCTACGTACCTCCAAAGCGAGCTCTCGGTGATGCTCCCCAGGTTGTAGTCATACAGCTTTGTCAGAATTAGAATCACCTGGAGGCAAAAGAAGAAATCATGGTTAGTCTGAAACAATTACAATCTCTTAGAACTGAAATGACCCAAGGGAGGGTTTAGGATTCCTTTAATGGGTGCTTAACATAATTGAATGAATTGTTAAAGCGTTTGTCTAAACTGACATGGGAAGTGCTTGCAGATGCTGTATGTTGAACTGAGCAGACCTTTCCCTGTTCAACGCTGCTGTACCATTATACGGTGCGTTCTTCCCCCAGGAGGCAAAGCGGGTGACAAAATACACCAGACACAATAATTTCAGATACAGGAGGAGATCTGCAGTATGTGGCAGAAAGAGTGATTGCCTCCCACTGGGATTCCTGAGCATGAGAACAACCAGCCTGTAATGGAGCAGAGGTCCTTCTGGGCCAGAATCTTGTCTTTCATGGTGGTCAGTACCAGAAGAAGATGCAAGAACCCTGAAGAAGGCCAATGTGGGCTACTCTGTCCCCCATGAAGGCCTCATTCGAACCCCTAAAAAGTAGAGAGTGGCTTAAATTCCAAAGCATGGAGGTTTTGGATCCCTTCCAACATTTTTCTTAGGGATCAAAAACCTCTGTCAGGCAACCTAATCATACCTTCATACATCTAAAGCTGAATTTAGACATCTAAATAAGTCATTGGATTCTCAAATTCCCATGAGACTGTCAATATTACTTGTATGTACTTGTATGTGTGTATGTATTTGCTGGTCTTAGTCAGTTGCTTTTGTGAGCCTTTCATACAGCAATAGTGGAGAGAAAAGACACTTAAACAACAATATGTAAACATGATTGTAAAAGCGCAAAAAATTGGTGGAGGACTATGGGGCAACGGCCAGGCCTGAGACGATATCTAGTTAAAGCTGCTCAGGAAATGGGTTTTGCTCCTGCGAAACATTTTGATTAAACATGAATAAAAGATTTTGTTTTCATCAACACTTTTTCTTCAAAAGTTTTCGGGTTTTTGTCAATCCCCCCACCCCTGCCCCCCAAAACAAAGCAAAAAACCCACTGATTTGGCGGGGGAGGGGTCTGGATTAAGAGTTGCGGGTTTCAGTTGCTGAAAACCGAAAAGGTCCGAGTTTGGCTTGGTCTGCACTACCAACTTATGTCGATATCACCACGTCGCTCAGGGGTGTGAAAAATCCACACCTGAGCAACGTAGTTATACTGACCTAACCCCCAGTGTTGACCGTCTCGACGGGAGGGCTTGTCCTGTTGAAAAGGCTAGCGCCTCTCAGAGAGGTGCAGTACCCATGCTGACAGGAGAAGCTCTCCTGTTGGCGTAGGTAGCCCCTTCATTAAGTGCTACAGCAGCACAGCTGCAAGTGTAGACAATCGCTTAATGAAAAGTGTTCACCCACAGGTGATGTGATGTTTTTGTCTTTTTCATCTTTGTCCTGTGAGAGTCCATTTTGAGTGACTTTCTAGTTTCACCTGTTTAGTTGATATTGGGGCATTTAGTGCATTGGAAGAGGTACGCCACATGTAGGACCCCTGGATCTTGAAAGGTGTGTTGCGGTCGGTGTTGATCATTGTTACAGTGGAGACATGTGTGCCAGGTTTTGCTTTTGTTGATCTGGAAGCATCCAGTGCCTCTTTGAGTTGGTGTGTCCTGGTCCGTGTGGAGCTTGCTTCTGATGATGAGCTTGGAGAGACTGGGGGAGGGGAGGGTTGTTTGAAGGCCAGAAGAAGGGGTTCAGGAATGATTTCTTTCAGAATCAAGTCTCCATTGAGTATGGGTTGTAGTTGTTTGATGTTACCCCCCATGGGTTCCAGTGTGGAGTGGCAGATGAGAACTAGGAGCGTGTGGTTGGAGGACATTTTATTTCTGTAGTGAAGCAAGTTCTCTCAGGGTATTTGGGGCAGCCTGTTCCATGATACGATCGACTTGTCTGGTGGAGTGTCCTTGTTTGGTGAAAGCTGTTTTGAATGTGTTAAGGTGTATATCCTGGACTTTCTACTCAGAGCATATTCTGTGGTATCTGTGTGCCTAGCTGTAGATAACAGATTTCTTGATGTGTTTGGGGCGGTTACTGGATCTATGAAGGTAAGTGATCAGTGGGTTTCTTGTACATAGTTGTCTGTAGGGTTCCGTTGTTGAAGCTGATCATGGTGTCCAGGGAACTGATGCTAGTGTGGGAGCGTTCTAGAGAAAGTCTGATGGATGGATGATGGCTGTTGAAGTTGTGGTGGAAATCTATGAGGGAGGTTAAGTCATCTGTCCAGAGGATCAAAATATCATCGATGTATCACAGGTATATCACTGGCTTCGTGGTGCATTTGTCCAGAAATTCTTCTTTAAGATGGCCCATGAAGAGGCTGGCATATTGGGAAGCCATCCCAGGGCTGTTCCCATCGTTTGGACAAAGTATTTGTCGTTGAATGTAAAATTGTTATGGGTGAGGCTGAAATGGATGAGTTTGGCAATGTGTTTGGGGTGGATATCTGAGGGCCATCCATTGCCATGTAAATATTTGTGGCAGGCAGCTATGCCATCATTGTGAGGGATGTACTGTATAGGGAAGTGACATACATGGTGGCAAGGATGGTGTTTTAATGTTGAGAAGTTTGTGGAGGAAGTCGGTTGTGTCCTGGGGGAAGCGGGCCCTTTGTGTGGCAAATGATTGAGGATGGTTTCTATGAGTTCCAATATTCCTTCAGTAAGAGTGCTGTGGCCCACAGCACACCTCTGAAGATCACAGCACATGGTGTACCTCATCCAGTGCACTAAATGCCCTAACAACAACTACGTGGGTGAAACCAGACCATCACCACACTCTCAAATGAACTCACAGGAAAATGATCAAAGACAAAAAAAACTATTGCCTGTGGGTGAGCACTTTTCACAAAGCCATCACTCTATATCTAACCTATCAGTCCTCATCCTCAAAGGAAACCTACATAGCACTTTAAAAAGACGAGCCTGGGAGCTTAAATTCATAACTTTGCTAGACATGACATCAAGAAGTTTCTGCTTTGCTGTAACCCTTGTTCCCTCCAAAACAAAATTTCAGCGAAACTGACACCATTTCACAAAGTATTTCAATTTCAACAGAACTGCATTTGCTGATGACAAACTGTTGTGTCAAATTTTTTCAAACCTGTTCTAGGAATTGCTCTGCATTCTACAAATCTGATGCAAAGCTCAAGGGAGTACAATCCCATTTAGGGAAGTGGTTCTTTGCTCCTTAATAATATTGTGCTGGCACACGATGGCTCCCAGTGGTGGATGGTAATCTCAATGCAAATTATATAAATTCTTTGTCCTACTCCCATCTATGTCAATGGGAATGTATCCACTGATTTCAATGACAGCAGGATCTGTTATTTGCAGGCTTGGCAGAATTAATTTTTTTTCCTAATAATTTCAACAGCTAATAATGTTTATTTTAAAACTTTTTTTTTCAATTTTTAGCAATTTAAATGTTCACAACTGTTTAAAACCCATGATTGCATGCTTTTTTTTTTACATTTTCATCTGTTTAAATATCCACAGTCACAGGAAATTGGGAGGGTCAGACAATTATTTAATTATAGTAGACATTCAGATTCAAAAAGTTAAAGCTTTACAATAATTAAAACACAAATTGTCTACATCACATGTCAAAATATACAAAGTAAATATCCTTAAATCAAACTCTAATAAGTTCTCAAGCAGAATTTTTCTGACTTTGCCTGTATGTAAATGTCTAATGTTATATATGGAATTATTTTTTTCAGTTTGTGGGTGTACGGTGAAATCAATGTTTACCAATATTTACCGATAAAAGTCTAATCCCTCCAAGCCTAGTTATCTGTGAAACACTTTCACATCTGGATCACTATGAGGAGAGCACTTTCAGATCCTTCTTGGGAAGGGACACCATATAAATAGAAGGCATTTTTGTTATTTCATTACTTGGTGATGTCTATCTAGGTTCTTAGTCTATGCCCATCACTGTGGTATCTGGTCACCTTATAATAGTCAATCGCATTTTATTCTAGAATCATATAGACAACCCCCTGCCATCATAGTAGAGGAGAGATTAAAGGACTTATCCAAGGTCACACAGTGAGTCAGTAGCAGAGCCAAGAAGAGAGGCCAGCGTTCCAAATTCCCAGTCCAGAGCCTTGACCACAAAACTACTTTTTCTGCCATCTCCTGGTGTAGGGATTCTGACTTCAACACACTTCTGCACAGGATGCTGCACATATAACATGTCCCTTAGGTTTCATCAGAGAACATCTCCACAACAGTCTCTCTTTTCCATTCACTTTACCTCAAGCAGCCGCAATAGGGTTACTCCAAACCAAGACACACAGGCAACATGAACAAGTCACGGTTGGGCAGCAAAATTGCTTATTTATGCCAAATTCCCATATGCACTTTTTGTTAAACTGTTATTTCAATAACCTGTGCAAGACCATCTTTTTTAAAAAGTATTATTTCTCCTTTTCATTTCTTTGTTATTCAGACTGCAAAAGGTTAGTTTGTGTTTGATATCATGGTGGGTTTTGTTGTTGCAGTGGTTGGTTTTTTGCTTTGTTTTCCCGGGCTGTCGCCAGATAGCTTAGAGGAACCTAATGATCAGAGACATGCATATTATGTTGTTCTAAATGTCAGAATATGGGCTGTGATGAAACGCTGTAATGAAATGAAACAGAATGTCTCACCCTTCACATTTGTTTGTTTTTTTCCTCTTTCCCGCTCCCCACATTTACCAATCAACACAAACTAACAAGGGCAAGAAGAAAACAACAGCCAAAATAGTGGTGCGCGCAACATACACACACAGGAGCTGAAAATCTGGTTTTATGCCTGTGAGCTCTTTTAAAAACTGAGATGAAAAGTGAAACGTTCTTTTCAGGGATAGAAACTCTGCTATTACAGCCAAAGTTACAGCTTTGCTTTCATGCCCCTGAAGTAAGGTGGTTTCGAAACGGGTCCCTCATCTTTCCCTGTTTAAGGGAAGTGGCACAGGATGCGATGGGTGATGTTTTTGAGGCCCAAACACAGGT